AACACACATAATACAACAACAACAACAACCCACCCCCCCCCCCCCCCCCCCCCCCCCCCCAACATAGGAGAATCTGCAGTGGAAGTGGTCTCCAGCTACAAGTACTTGGGTGTGCACCTGAATGACAACCTGAGCTGGAGCAACACCACCAGCCTGATCAAGAGAGCTCATCAGAGACTCTACTTCTTCAGGTGGCTGAGACGAGCTGGGCTGGGAAGCTCAGTCCTCACCTCCTTCTACAGGTGTGCAGTGGAGAGCATCCTGTGCTCCAGCATCAACATGTGGCATGGAGGCTGCACAGCTGCAGGAAGAAAAGCTTTGCAGAGAGTGGTGAAGGCTGCACAGAAGACTGTTGGAGTCAATCTCCCCACCATCACAGACATCTACACCTCCAGATGCTGGAAGAGGGCCACCTGCATCATGAAGGACCCCACTCACCCAGTACACACACTTAAGGAGCATTAAGTGTAGAACCACTAGCCTGAGGAACAGTTTCTACCATGAGGCTGTTGGACTCATGAATATCTAACCAGAATAATCACTGTGAGAGAAAAAAAATAACTGTAATGCCACTTGATTGTTGATATGTGCTGCTGACTATCCATGTTGCTGATCTCATGCTGCTGATCTGTTTCATGTTGCTGTGTTCATTCGTACTCATCTGCTCACACAGACTCATGTTCGTGCTGCTGTTCGGCGTATTGTGTTTGTACTATTAGTGCTTAATGTATTTTTAGTTAATGTATTTCTTAGTTCATATCTTAGATCTTATTACTGTTTTTCTTTTACATTTTATTGTTGGATGTAACTGGGACACTGCGTGTCCAATTTCGTTTCACCACATGTACCACATGTGGTGCGAATGACAAATAAAGGACTTTGAATCCTTAACTAAAACTTTCCAGTGGTGCAACTGATTGTGAAATCCTAGAAGTTTTAAATGCTTCATCATCACCACCTGGTTTTTATTTGTTGATTCATTCAACATTGACACAGTACCACACTTCAACGGGATTTTTTTTTTAAACACATCACCTTTATCTTTATTTATCTTTATCTTTACAACTTTATTTTCCGATTACTCTGATATAAAGAATGACATTAACATTAGGTTTAACTGCTTCATGGTTCAGTGAATGTTAGGATGTGCATGTTTAAAGATGATAAAATCAAGTTTACGGGAAAATAAGAGGTGCTGACTGACTGGATTTGTTTCAGCAGTAAATGGTTGACACTGCTTAGGTCAGAAAGGTGAAACTGTTATTCTCATCCTTTATTATTTAGAGTCAATAAAAGACATAAAAATGATGATGCAACAACAGCTAAACCAGTCTTGCTAAACTCAAAAATTGAAATAAAAACGCAGCGGCAGCTCTGCTAAATAATGGAAGTGATTCTAAAGTGAGAGGTAGCAGTTCACTCAGGGACACGTTACATATGAGCACGTCTAAATCCTGACAGTCTTTACTCAATCCAATGCAGTTTAGTCACTCTTCATAGCTTTTCCCTCCAAAAACACTCATATAAATTGGCATTGTGGTCTCTGTAATAAAAAGTATTTTGAGTTATATTGGTAGAAAGTAAAGAATATTCTGATATCCCAGAGAAAACTAAATCAAATAACTTATTTTGATGGTTTATGTCATGCTTGCAAGAAATTAATTACATTTTAAACTGCAACTTTTAACTTTAACTGTTGCAAACACAATGGCTTAATGAAGTATGTAAATACAGTATGTAAATGTAAACTGCAAGAAAATTGGCGTGCTTTAAAGCATACTGCACACAACTTTGATAAACATGCATTAATTTTACTGCCAAAGTTTAGATTTTTACTCAGGTTTGAAGTGATATTATTGAATGCCTCTCATACAAAATGCAAAAAAAAAACTCTACAATGTTGCATTCTGCGACACAGTCAATTGTCTTTACCAGGCTGTTCTTCTGTCTACGTTTAACAAATGTGTTAAAAACCTTCAGAAACCGCAAGACTCCGAATAAAAGATCAAAGTAAAGCGAAGACCCAGCTTTGTCTTGAGCTAATATTTGGAGCACAGGCGGTTTGAAAATGGTGTGTACAGTGCTGAGGCTTTGATAAAGAAGCGTGCGCCTCAGCAAAACTGGCCAAACATCACAGTTTTTGCTCCCCTGGGAGAGCAGGACTGTTTCTGCTTCTCCCAGCAATAAATCAAAACCAACATGAAAACGCTGCCTTAGCTCCAGCTTCAGGTGACGCAGGATCACAAAGCCAGAGCAGAGTCCTGGACTCAGAGCTGAAAGGTCTCCTGATAAACACAGAACTATTGTGACAGACAAACAAGATATTAGTTCTGTCCTCTTTGTTTTATTGGTCTTGTCGTAATCTCCTCTGCATATTGTTACATGCTCCTATAGCCGCAGCCTGGAAAATACACAATCCAACAAGTAACAGAGCTTTTATCAAACTAACCACAAACAGGCCAAAACATATGCAGAGGGAGTGTTTGAAATAATTCAAGTTTCCTCACTTAAGTGTGTTTGATTGCCTCTTTTGATTTGAGCATTTGTTATGGAAGCAAATTGAGAGCAAAAAAAAAAAAAAAAGAATATTTCTGTTTGGTGCAATCTAGTCAAGTCAGGTCAGATTTATTTATGTAGCACATTTAAAACAGAAACTCTTACCAAAGTGCACAGCATCAAATAAAAAGTAACAAGCTATAATTACAGCATATGGAATAAAAATATTAAGCACAAAACATAATTAGAAACAAATCAGATCTACATCAAGTCTGAAAAGTTTCAATAAAAGTTACAGAAAAAGATCAATAACAGTCCATTTATTCTGTTGCACATAAATAATCCTCTCAGGCTGATATGAGTTGTAAAACACAGCACCTGCCATGCTTCATTTCAGTTTTCCTTCTTTAAAAAAAGAAATGTGTCAAATTTAGCTTTCCGCATTAAGAAACGAATTAAAAACCAGTGCGTTTGGTCCAATAAAGTGGTTAATTGGAAGTCAAACTGTGTGTTTGTGCCACAGGGCACTAAAAGAACACATATTAATAAAACAATGCTTACAGCTTCTTTATTGTTTGCATTTAAAACTTCCAACATTTTTTTCAGTCAGGTCATCTGGACAGTTTCTTTTTTTGCTGAAATGTTTCACCTTCCATCCAGACGACTTCATCAGCCAAGGAAACACACAACACAAAACTGATTCTTCCCCCAAACAGCTTACTCCAAAGTGGAACAAACCAGTTATGTTGGTGCAAAGATGGTGTCTCTGGCACACCCCCTCCTCTGGTGCCGGCCCTCTTCCTTGTCGACAATCATGTCAAACTGGTTCAAAACCATTTAAAACTTGTATGTTACCACCATCTTGTGGCTTCTATGTAAAATAAAAAGATACTTTCTTCCATTTATTAGTGTTTAAACTGAACACTATTTAGGAATACATTGATGGAGAAAATGTGACAACATTTTGGAAACAAAAAAAGACACAATGTAAAAAATAAATGTATGGGTTTCAAAGATGTTTGCTGCAGGAGTTTAGACGTGAATTCTGGCAGCTTCTTTGATTTTATTGGCTTTGATTGTGTCACATCGACAACTCAAGCTTCATTACAAGACAAGTCTATAAAGTAATAATAAAATGGAGTAAATAAAAGTAAAATTACACAACAATTAAACAAATCTGAGGTCAAAATTGATATTTTTTTCTTCCTTATGTTCCATTTTAAACCAAACTAAAATGATATATAATCTAAAAATCCTAAAATGGAAAAACATATGAATATGAACTTTTAGTTTTCTCCCTCTCTTCTTAAATCAAACACCCCAGGACTTATCTGACATGTCTGCGTAATACTACTGCAAACATTGGTTTTCCACTTAAGGCGAAAACATGCTGTTTATGTGCTCAAGACTCAATTATCTGATCTGCAAAGAATCAGACTCTTTATTTTGCATATATATATTTTAAACGGGGTCATAGAAAATAAAGGCTTTATTTGATTTGCCATAAGACTTTAATGCATATTGGTGTTTCTGTGGAAATTTCCATCATGCAGACTGTCTGAACCTCCCCCCTTCCTTCCACTTTGCATTTCAAATCTGGTGTTGCTGCAAAATGAAGGTGTGGAGACCCACATGTGTGCACATATGATGCACATGAACCATGCACATCACGCAAAAACACTAAACATGGGGGGGATGGACTGGTACGTGTTTACTGTCAGGAGTTTCTCCTATGGGTCACATAATTAAATTAACCTTTTTTTTTTTTATTTATCAGCAATTTCTAAGACAATGGGCGCAATTTATTTAAATCTGGGTTAAACAAACGTGAAAACAATAGAAAAACACGACTATCATGTTGAAATAAACGGATTTAGGCAAGATTTTCACCACATCTCAGGAAAAATAGTCCCCCAGTAAATAGTAATTACTGTGTAATAGAAATCCTGAATCCATCCTTTATTGAGCCTTAGAGCTAGTTTCATTTCGGATTGTTTGAGAGCTTTTAGTTTCCCTCAGGTAGACGTTTAAAGGTCTACGTGCAGGACGTGTGGTTCTCTTCTCCACACGAATCACTCTTTCTGCGGTTTTTTTTTCTCCTTCGTTTTATCAAAAACTCGTGTGGTGGGCGGGTCTTTATGTTTCTAACTGCTTTTGGTAACTTTTTTAAAATTCTATTAAATAAAACAAACTACAACTTTAGTAAGGAAGCGTCCAGCCTTGAGGGGGTGGGCGCTTCTCCTTTCGGGTGACTCATCAAAGGTTACCAGGCAGATTAGTGGGCTGAGGACGTGAGCTGCAATCTGATTGGTTGAAAAAATGCGGTGGGGCGTTCGCGTGCGTATTTAAGGCTTTGTTCCATTGTTTCCGAGCGTTTTCTCCAGCTGGTGCGACTAAAGGAGTGAGGTCAACTAACAGGGGGATACCATCGCACTTGTTTTTTTAATTTCGTTTTACTTTTGGCCCACTTTCTTTTAATTGCAAAATAGGCATTTGTTTTATAAATGTCTTTTTCTTGCAACCAATCTCTGGAAGGCAGTTTCCCTCCGTCCCCGGCGGAGGACAGAGGCTCGCAGAGGCTGTCCTGGAACAATCTGCTGCAGAAGCTCACCGAGCTGAAGGGCAGCAAACACCGGCTCTGCAGGAGTGAATCTGGTACGTTGTTGTCGAGGGGGTTCCTGTTATATGTGCTTTGACATTTTACAACTTTACTAACTTGAGCTCTTTTGTTTCAGGATCTGTGGCAGATGTGTCCCTGTTTGAGTCGGATGCTTTCTTCTGCTACCCCCCAGAGGAGACCCTGGCTGCAGAGGTGATGGCCACCATCACTCAATGCCTCAACAATGGATCCAACATCCTGTGCTGCTCCAGACTCATCCTGCCTGACTGCCTGATGCAAAGCCTCACTGAGGAGTTGCTCCACCTGGCTGTGAATGAGCCATGTGGGCTCAGGGGGGCTCTCATCGACCTGTGTGTGGAGAGGGGAGACCAGGGCTCACTATGCACTGTGGATCAAATAGCAGTGGATCCCACTCTGGTCCCAACTTTCCACGTGACTCTGGTGCTGAGGATAGAGTCCAGCGGACTGTGGCCAAAAGTTCAGAAGCTCTTCAAGGGTGGGAAGCTACCTCCTGCCACGTCTCCTCGACACCGCACCACCCTGAAGCTGAGCACCAGCTTCAGGGCCATCAAGAGGAAGCTGTACAGCTCAGGAGAGCTGCTGATCGAGGAATGCTGCTGATTTAAGCACTCTGAAATGATAAACTGTAAAAAGTGATTTTTTTGTAAAGATATAAAAACCATTATAAACTGAACTGCACCGACACAAAGGTCCTGGATCAAATGGTTTTTCATCTGAGGGCCAACTTGCTAATGTCTCATGGCAGCTATATGACTCCTCGGTGAAGATTCGCGTTTGAACGCGAGTCGATTGTCGTTCCCACAAAATGTGACGCCTTTCAGGGAATTGTTTGACAGCCGAATGTTACCGCCTGCATCCTGTTTTGTACTTGAAAAACAGAATAAATTATTTTCTACAAAACGTGCCGAGTTTTCATCTGCTCCTTTGCTCCCCAACGAGTCTCAAGCTGTTAACTGCATCAAGATAAAATGTGCTCAATAATAAGAACTCTTATTTTGTTCCATTATTATTCCAGAATAAACGCACACAGGTTAAAACACAAGTTGGCTTAAGAGCAAATTTGTTTTTAAACAAGACTATCCAGCGATCAATCATTGGACAAATTTTATTCAAATAAACGTATACAATTTTAGTTTGTTAATTTAATAAATATGTCTTACTTTTAGTTGTGCAACAACTCTTAATAATTATGATCCAACAGGCTACAAGCAAATCCACAAAACATTGTAAATGACTCCAACGACCCCTCCTGCATTGTTAAAAGTTAAGTATTTACAGAACTATAAAAAAAATTACTTTTTCCTCGTGAGTGGCTCAGAGTGTCTGTGAGAAGGCCTTGAGATTACTTTTTTTTTTGTTGTCAGGAAAAATAAAATGTTCAGGAAGGAAAGCTAATCTCAGCAGCTTTAATTTATCAAACCGATATCAACGTTCTCACGTTCCAAAATGAATGGACTCATGGCTGCCGCCGGGAGAGGAGTAAGAAAAGGTCAGCAGTCGAGTCGAAGCTTCTCACAGTTCTACAGGACGTCAGGCTAAATCGAGCGGCTGGAAGAACCTCTGACGAGGCCTCCTGCCAACAACGCATAAGGCATGTTTTGAAGTTTCTTGATTTGCTGCAGAAAAATGCTCCAATTTGAGTGGGCTCCGACCAATTTCTCCTCAGAATCACACCTATAAAAAAAAAGAGAGAAAATGTACCTATTAGCTTTGTTAACTTTAAAACGTTACCACAAAAACAAATATTTTTACTACGTTCGTATTCTACATGAAACAGCTGACAACCATTTTGAACAATCCTGTGTTTTAAGCACATTTTACACCTTAAATGCAGCCATTTATGTTGGTAAAACCATTTACAAAACCCTCTGTAGAAACTTGACCCTTGATCATGATAGAGAGTCAATAATAATTGACAGTGACCAACCAGGCTCTGCTACTGACGTCTGCAATCTGACAAAAAAACAGAGCTGACCCTTCAATATCTGTTGCCAGATTAACACGCCGCGATAAGCTAACAAAGCTGACGAAATGCTGACTAAATGATTTCAAATCTGGGGAAAAGACAGTTTTGACAGCTCGTGCTGGTAGAAAGACATAATTATAGTGACGTCTGCAGAAACGTACCAGTAATAGTGCAAGTATTTACTAGCCATCCAGTATAATCTGAATCTCAGATAGTCTGGAACAGCTAGGAGTCCCCATTCTTTGTGCCCTTTGATACAATTCAGAATCCCCAAAGTAACGAGCGCGATACAGCAAGCCTTCCCCTGAAAGAACAAATATAGTTAGTATCACTTTCTGTTTTCTTATAAATCCAAAATGACTAATAATTTACATCAACATGTAAAAATTCAGGTGTATTTTCTTCATGTCTCGGGCTAATATACCTGAATTTAGGTCATTAATTAAACAAAGGAACAACAGTGGTCATGGATTTCTCATCTTTACCAGTATTGAAAAGAAAAATGTTATAAAATGTACAAGTTAATTATTAACATCAGGCACCTTTTTAAATTTTCTGAGGTATTTAAAACAAATAACCCTACGTGCTTTTTTGGGGAAAGAATACAGTTGAATGAAAAAACAAAATGTGTTTATGGTGGTGGAAAATACTTAAGAATAAAAATAGCTAAATCAGTTGCATTACTGTATAAAGTAAAAGAGTTTTTGAATGACAAAGCTTTGTATTTATTGTATAATGTAATGATTGTTCCACATTTAGTCTACTGTATTGAAGTTTGGGAAAAATCATGCAAAACAATTACAAATCCTATTTTTATAAAATAAAATAAAAAAGAGCTATAAGAATTATTAGCAGGAAGTGCTATGGTCACCCAACAAATATATTATTTCATCAGTTGAAATTATTAAAATTTTATGATTTGGTTGAATATAGTATTTTACAAGTCACGTATAAAGCTCATAAAAAAATATTACCCCCAAGTATTCAAATAAAATTTGTTTAAAAAGAGAGTCATTATAACCTTAAGGGAATGGAAATGTTTGTAAAACCTTCATTTAGAACTAGTCTAAAGGAGCTGTGTTGTAATTCAGGGAATAGGATTATGGAACTGCCTCAATATCACAATAAACATATCTAAAACAATGTATATGTTTAAAAAGTTGATTAAGTTAAAGTTGTAGGGAAGGTATAGTGCCAGGTGAAGGATACCTGATGTTTTTTATTTTCAACTTGGAGATTGTTCAAGCGTAGGTTCTTGTTTGCTTGTAGTTATTTTTATTTTTTAAAATAAGGGGCAGATATTATAAGAATTTTTTTTCTTCTTTCTGCGTCCTTTTCAACGTTTTTTTTATTTTGATGAATTTATTTTAAATGAATTAATTAAAAAAAAAATGGTGCTAAGAGGTTGAAACACTGACAGATCGTACATTTAGTGCATAGTTTTCTTTAGGGGGAATGAAAAAATGTGAATTTGGTACCATACTCTCCAAGTAAACTTGATATGTTTAAACCACATGGAAACTTTTAGTTTTGTAAATGTGAGCAAACTGTCTTCATTAGCATAAGAGGCTGTCGTTAGAGTGCAAACGCATGTTTTAAATGAGTGGCAGGTGATGTTCAGACTAATCCAATCCTCTATAGACATGCATGAGCAAGAAAGCACCTACTCTGAAACAAAGATAAAGTGGCTACAGTTCTTAGGGGAGAACACAAAAGAAGTGATTAAATCGCAGTAACTGTGGTTCAAAAGCACCAAAAGTCACATTTGATGGTCATTCTGAAAGTGTAGGGAACTGCTGTGGTTTTGATGCTTACATACGCTCTTCAACTCGCACGTTCCAAGATATTAGCTGTTTAAATCTTCTAGACTTCTTTTACTGCGTTTCTTATTTAATAGTACCTCAAATATTTTCAACAAGGGACAGCTTCACATACCAGTGCGGGTCACATAAACGCCCACGCTCTTTTATTGCGTTGTTATAGTTTGTAATGATGCTTTATGTGGGAAAACATTTTTCCAAGGAATTGGAATTTATAAATTGTTCCTCATCATTAAAATCAATTTTCCTTTAAATCTAAAATGTAAATTACGGTAATTTAAAATGACCACATTGTTCATTGAAGCGTTCCGTACTAAACGGGCTTGTAAAGTCGAAAACCCACTTTGCTGCTTCTCCTTCCAACAGTTGTTTCTTAGGTTAGAGATGTAGTCTTCTTCTACACTTCTCTCAACATTCTTCAGGTTGTTGCCTGTAAATTCTTCATTGAAACGCTCCCCCACATAGAAAGGCACCTTTAGGTGAGATGTATGCCTTTTGTGAATATGTCCAGCAGACCTATTAAGCAGAAGGTACATTAACTGGATACAAAACAGATGCTGAAGAGCTTTTGCTGATAACTCCAATAAATATGGAATACTTACTGACGATAACTAAGGCTGTATGGAGGCTGCGTCACCATCAACTGGCTGAGAGCAGAAACAATGATGAGGATTAGTAAGGGCATCAGCTGGACGAGCAGAGCAAAACCTCCCTGTTCCAACAGAAAGAGGGGGAAAGAAAAAGTCTAAAAATAAAGTAAAAAAGCAAAACATCAAGTTTAGTTAGGCTTTACCAACAGGACTTACATCTCTCTGCTGTTCCCGTCTTTCATGTCTATTTTGGTGGGCAAAGTGCATTCTTCCATTTCTGTAAACATGTACATTACCTAAAAAAGGGAAAAGATTAAATTAGTAGTGAAGTTTCTACAATAGGTGGTATTTCAGTTCAAGAATTCACATTTTCAACACAACTGTTGTTTCAAAAAACAACCGTATTTTTCGCCCAATAACTCACGTTTTTTTTGTTGTTGCATATTTTGCATGCTCTGTGACTTATACGCCGAAGTGACTCATTTATGGATTTTTCCCATATTCATGAACCAATTTTTGGCTGAGATATGACCGTTTTCATTCATTCTGACCGAAAATATTGAACACTACCATTTTCAGCCGCTAGATGGCACCAGAGTAGTATGGCATGCCGTTGTGTCATGTAATAGGTAAAAGTGATTATTAATGACACAATCGGCTTGTCACAGTAAGCCACCTTCAAATGCAGATAATTTGACCATTGAAGTGCATTTATTAAGTAAAAGTTCAGCTGAGACACACAGCTGAGCAAATTATTGTTTTAAGTGCTTAGCTTGTTAAATTTCTAAGAAATGCGAAGCATTCCTCCTCCATGATTTCCTCCCTCTGCGCGCTACCAGAGCACCGAGGCATCTAATACTTTTGAAATACAGCCGTTAAAGTCCTTTTATTAAGGAAAAGTTCAATTGAGACACACCTTTACTATACAGTCGAGCAAACAAATAATTGTTATTAGGTGCTTATCTTGTTCAATTTGAACAGTGACTCGTCCCGTGCATGCGCTTACTTCCGCATATCGACTTTTGGAATGCAGTTGACTTGACCGTCAAAGTGAATTTATTAAGTAAAAGTTTAACTGAGACACACCTTGCTATAATTTCGAGCAAACAAATAATTGTTTTTAAGTATTAATCTTGTTAAATTCTTGTTAAAGTCCTCCCGTGCATGCTCCAGCAGCTGTCATTTGACAGCCATTCCATTTTTGGCACAGCACCGGCACACATTTCCAGGTTGTCAGCGGTGACGCATAATAAATGCGACGTATACAGCAAAGCGATGTATTTATGGATTCTTCCACTTTATTAGACATATTTGGACTGATGAGACCTATAGGGCGGAGCAACATTTACGGCGGAAAATACAGTAGTTACATGATATGATCCCTGATGATGACATTTCCTTACATTCAAGAAATATCAGAATGTATAGGCTTCATTTAATATGGTCTAGCAACACTTCAACTTGATTAGACCAGCCAGACTTTAAGACATTCCATTGGTTTTATTTTGTTGTACTTAATTGTGCATATTTTGAATATTACTATCTCAGAATTGCAAGTAAAACCACCTCAGTACCTTTAGCAATAAAAATATCACTTTTTCCTCTATTAAGATAAATGTTTTTGCAAATTTGTACTTTGCCTTTTATGTTAGTGGCACCAACCTGTTTTGTAAAAAAGAGATGATTCTACATTAATGCCTGCACACATAACAGACAATATTAATAAACACAAATCCTACTGAATGTTTTTTTTGTGTCTTTTCATTAAAAGATTTCTAGCTTGATCAAATAATGAGTGGAAAAGTTTCAGTACATCAGTTACATCCAACAATAATTTTCATCTTTAAATCATTTCTTGGTCTGTTGCCTTCATACATCTCCTCCTACATGTCACTGCGTGAGTGCAGCTACAGCGTGCGCTCTCAGGACATTATTACCTGCAGTGTTCCCTCAGTGCAGACTGTTCTTGGCAAAAGGGCCTTCTCCTACTCTGCTCCTGTTTCCTGGAATAACTTGCAAAAAGATCTGAAGCTCTCGACCTTGACCTCTCTAAGTGGCTTCAAACATCTGTTAAGTTCCTGGCAAAAACCAATGCAGACATGTTCCTGTTTTTAGTTTTCTACACCGCCTTACAACCTATATGTTTTTACTGTTACATTTTCTTTTAAATATTTTATTTTCACTTGTTAAAAAAAAATTCAATTTGTACGCATCCTTTAAGACTGTCTATTGTCTTTGTTGTCATCATTCTTTGTTAAAATCAGGTCTCTCTTGTAAATGAGTCCCTGAATCTCAATGGGATTAACCTGTATAAATAAAGTTTGAATGGATCAAAAAGTGTCTTTCCATGCTCGCTGAGTGACCAGGAGTGATTGAATCCTACTTTATATGCAAATGAACCGACCCACAAACCACATCACAGCAGCTGCGAGCAACAATCAAATCAGTAGGTCTTCTGAAAAGCCCTGAACTACATGGACTTGTGTTACATACATCATCAGATGATGCTAGTGTTAAAGGGAAAACAGGAAGTCAGTCAGACTTGTCAATTTACCTGCTGATAACCAAAACTAAGTGTCATGTATTTACTGGTGCATTTTTCATAAACGTAGAGTTTCAGGAGCAGCTGAAGCTTCAGAGCTCTGCCACAATATTTATAAAGGTTATCACTCCTGGGCCTCAGACCCATCATCTGGTCTCCACTCACTTGATGGGAAGCCTCCACCAAAGAACATGTTGAAGAGGTCCTCGGGTGAAATGTCTGCTTCAAAGTCGTGATGTTGTCTGTTTCTATTCGGGTGTGTTCTCTCCTCTCCATACTGGTCATACTGCCTTCGTTTGTCAGTGTTACTTAGAACAGCATATGCATTACCGATAGCTGAAAAACATAAACAAACGTGTACTTAATACAAGGGTTCCCTGTTATCCCCCACAGAAAGTTGATGGTTACCTTTAAATGCCTCTGTGGCTCCAGGTGCATGATTTTTATCTGGGTGAAATTTTAGCGCTAGCTTTCTGTAAGCCTTTTTAAGATCCTCCTCAGAGGCAGCCTTCTCCACTCCCAGAATTTGGTAATAATCTTTGCAGCTCTTAATCCTGCAGTAATAACAACAACAAAAACAACACGTAAAACAAACTATGTACTGAGTAACAAGAGTAATATGCATTCTACACTACTCTGACAATACAATAAAATTCACATTATGACAATTATATTTTTGTATACTTTAAATATTTATCTGTTTAAGGGAATAAACTATACTTCAATCAACCTAAAAATAATTTATTCTGTAAACATGTTCAGCAAGATTACATTGTACAATCCCTAAACTCTTATATTTTCAGAACAGTGTGACATCGTGATGCATGCTCAATAATCCAGGTAAAAAAAATCTAAAAATGTTAAATCTGGTCCTCTGGACATTCAAAAAACAAAACAAAACAAAAACAACAACAAAAACATGTAGAAACATTTCATCTTTCATCCTCAGACTGAGGAAGTCTTTCGTATGAAAGACGAAACATTTCTACATTTTTGTTGTTGTTTTGCTTTGTTTTGTTTTTTGAATGTCCAGAGGACCAGATTTAACATTTTTAGAACAGTGTGACATTTTAATCATTAGCGGTTGACTGGTTATGGTTTTTCCAATGAATAATGGCAAAGGTTAGAAATCATGTGAAATTACTGGCAATTTATGAAATCTGTTTGTTTGTCTTTGCCCAAAATATGAGTTTCATATTCATGCAGATTACCATACAGTCTACTAGATTTTGAAAAGTAAAGACCACTTTCTCAGGAGGATGAGACGAGCTGGACTGGGAAGCTCAGTCCTCACCTCCTTCTACAGGTGTGCAGTGGAGAGCATCCTGTGCTCCAGCATCAACTTGTGGCATGGAGGCTGCACAGCTGCAGAAAGTAAAACTCTGCAGAGAGTGGTGAAGGCTGCACAGAAGACTGTTGGAGTCAGCCTCCCCACCATCACAGACATCTACACCTCCAGATGCAGGAAGAGGGCTACCTGCATCATGACGGACCCAACTCACCCAGTATGCACACTTTTTGCCCCGCTCCCCTCTGGAAGGAGGTTGAGGAGCATTAAGTGTAGAACCACTAGACTGAGGAACAACTTCTACCCTGAAGCTGTTAAGACTCATAAATCTAGTCACTCATAAAGTGACTAATCTGCTGATCTCAAGCTCCTACGTTCATTCATACGCATCTGCTCACCATGGACTCATGTTCAGGCTGTTGTTGTTACACCATATTGTTTTGCATTATTAGAGTTTATCTTAGTGTATATCTTAGATCATTATACACTATTTATTTTCACACTTTACATTTTTGCTATTGTTGGGTGTAACTGGGACCCTGCGAACATAATTTTGTTCCACCTCATGTACCACATGTGATGAGAATGACAAACCTACTTGAACTTGAAGAAAACAAAATAAAAACAAACAATGACTGCCTGTGCTGCAGTTAACTGAAGGCTCACTATAATGCAGTTTCAACTTAAAACCATATTTACTCTCCAAAAGTGAAGTTTAAAGGGGCAGATATAATAAGATTTTTTTTCTTCTTCTGCTGCCTTTCATTTTAAATCTCTTGTATTTTTTATATTGTTATGAAATTGTTTTGTATTTTTTAAAATGAATAAACTTTATACCATACCATACCAAATATCTAATCTAACCAAAACAATTACGGTAAGTAAAAAAAAAAGGTCTTACAATTTCAATGGTAAATATGACAACTGTTCTGATAAAAATTAACATAATATTCTCAACAACTTCTTATGGGTACAGAAAATAATAAATAAATAAATCTTGCCGTGAAAGGCATTCAGGAAACACAGACAAAAGAGCATATGGTAATGCCAACAACATCAGAGGTGTCTGCCTATTGATATATATGTTTTCTCAAGTGTGAGTGATGCTGGCTATTAAAAAACTGGCTAAAGCCAGCATACCAATCAATCTATTTTATTACAGGGTTGTCAAACTTCAGTTCCTAGGGGGCCACCACAGAACAGCTTTATGTTATGGCTTCAAAGACAAAGCACTCTTTAGGCTGCTTCTGGCTGTTCATAAATCACCAATCTGACCAGTCACATGCTGCTACAATGTTGAGTTTTCATAAATTAAGCCAGCATTGCCAAACAAAAGGAGGCACACGTGTTTTAAGTGGGGTTAGGATGGACAGTGCACACAAAAATGTGTGTTGGACATCAATCATAAGACTGCAGTCAGATAGTTTGTCATCGGTATGTCACACATCAAGCCACAATGCCAACTTACCTTACATAAATTTATTGATGCAGGCAACTTTGTCACTACCCCACTTGGTAGCTAAGAGGTATAACAGTGGTGGTTAGACTTCAAACTACTAGGATGTCCTCAATACTTTCGTAAATCCTGCAAGACGGCATCTCAGGCCCAGCATGGTGTTTCGTATAATGGGCTTTAGTCGTTTCACCGCTCCAACACAGTTGATTCAAACGGTAATTACCTCCTCAGTATGTCACCATGCTCTGCATAAATATGGTAATGACTCATTCAGTTGAATCAGGTGCGTTGAAGTATTGATAGAAACATTTGCAACATGCAGGACAATGGCCCTCAAGAACTAGTTTGACATCCCTGTTTATAAACCAACATCTTTTAGGTGTGTTAATCTCTCTCGAGGGGGAGGGAGCTCACCAGTTTATTAGTGATTACAGAAATAACACTAATCTGAAGCACAAGGACAGGTGATAAAGTGCACTGACTTTCTGACAGCCTCCAGCTGCTCCGCTGTGTAAGACTTGGCCGAGTCTGTGTGCTCGTGTGACGGACCGTCCGCATGATGATCTCTGTCCCTGCGGTGTCTCACACCTGCTCCATCTCCGTTCATAGCACTGCCATTTTCATCTGGAGGCTTTCCATTTTGAGATAATGACTCCAACAGATCTGCAAAGAGAGGGAGAGTGGTACCTTATTATTCAAGGTTTCCACTTCATAGTTATTATTCTGCTAGTATACTACCGATTAGCGTTAAAGGAAGCTACACAGAATTTCAACGCAAATAATAATAACCAAGTCTCAGTTGAGGGCAACATGTAAGTATATGGAAAATAATATGGACATGGTGGCTAAGAAACTACAAGTTCCAGTTACGGTAGATAGCCAGACATGCTAACATTAGCTATTAGGTTTCACAGCGCTGGCCTAACTTGGACACCATCGCTGTCGAGACAGACGTTTATTCGACGTACTTTTGGCCTGGTCTGTTGGAAATAAGCGCTGAGCCTTCTCTAGAAATTTTCTGGCTTTGTCCAGCTGATTGTTGCTGACCGCATTCAGGGCTATTTTAATACACCGCTCAGCTTCGTCCTTGTTTGAGTCCATCGCGACACAGCGGAAATGTTTACTTGTCCCTAGACGCATAAGAATGACGTTTCCGCTGTCTGACGCGTAATTAAGACGTCACAGTAGTCGCCGAAAGAGAAGTGATGGCGATAAAATAAATAAATAAACTACTACTTCTAGCTGATTTCAATATACATAAATTGCCCATCAAATTATCAGCTTTCCATAAACAAGTGTTATTATACTGGAAAATGCTCTACGTACATAATTACCACACTCCAATAGCATATGGAATTAGAGATTCGTAAATTCATTATTTTACAATGATTGGATGGAGAGGAACATTTGGTCTGTTATACATGGTAAACTATGAACAATTCTGTGCAAAGTATAAATTCTATCCCCACAAAGTTGAATTTACTTAAAACATTACCAAAACAATTTATTAATCAGAATCAAAATATAATAGCATATAATCCTATAACCCCACAATTACCCACTCTATCTATTAATGGAATACCATTTACTGACAAAAAACAAACAAACAAAAAATCCAACAACCACACAATTAGAAGCTGTCTAAATGAAAACTTATTCCCTGGGAAAATACATAAAAATAACAAACTTTGCAAATTTGACAAATAAATCAATAGAAATGTTAAGAACTCTATTTTTAAAACTCCCCATACAACCAAAGGCTAAAAAAACACACTTTAAAATTTTAAATGCAGGTTACCCCTCCAAAGAACTACTAAGAAATCGTTTTAATATTGATGACAATAAATGCTCCTTCTGTGAACAGAATATAGAAACAATAGACCATATCTTCTATGAATGCAACACAACCAAAATATTTTGGAATCACTTAGAAAGATGGATCACACTGAAAATTACACTTCCTGAATCTATTTCCAGAGACATGGTAACATTTGGAGTATTATTGAAAAAAAAAAAAAAAAAAAAAAATGGAACTCGGTTGTAATTTGATATTTTGTCTGGCAAAATTATTTATTCATAAACAGAGAGTGCTAAAATAATCACCAGTTTTTAACATTTTTTAAATCTGGATTTCAATTATATGTGAAATCTCTGAAATATATTGAAACACATAAAGATCTGCATGAAATGTTAATGGAATTGCCCAGTAATGCATCCATCCATACATACATTATCTTTTATCCGCTTCTTCCATTTTGGGTCACAGGGGTCGCCGGTGCCCATGTCCAGCAATCACTGTGCGAGGGGCGGGGGACACCCTGGACGGGTCTCCAGTCCATCACAGGGAGAAAAGACAAACAACCACTCACTCACACCTAGGGACAATCCATCCATCCATCCATTATCTTTACCCGCTTATTCCATCCCGGGTCACGGGGGTCGCCGGTGCCCATGTCCAGCAATCACTGTGCGAGGGGTGGAGTACACAAAGGACGGGTCGCAAGTCCATCACAGGGCCACATAGAGACAAACAAGACAAACAACCATTCACTTTCTCACTCACACCTAGGGACAATTTAGAGTTACCAATCAGCTTAACATGCTTTTGGTCTGTGGGAGGAAACCGGAGCACCTGGAGAAAACCCACGCATGCACAGAGAGAACATGCAAACTCCACCCAGAAAGGCCACCGGACCGGGATTTGAACCGGGGACCTGCTCGCTGAGATGCAGCAGCTCTACCAGTTGCGCCACCGTGTTGCCCTGTTGTAGTTTATTTTAGTTTATTTATTTTTTCTCTCTTTCTTTCTTTCCTTGTTTTCATATCCAAGTCTGCCTCTGTTATGCCCTTTTTAGAGTTACGCTATTGTGAATTGCCATATTTGTTTGTACTTGTTTTTGCTAAATAAAGTTTTCTTAAAATAAATAAATAAATAAAAAGATGGCGATAAGTGATCAGTGATGATTAAAAATGTATCAAGTTTGGTGAATTTTAGATTTTTTAAATATTAAACTGTCTGTAGGAGCCATATATAATATGGAGCTCCATACATTTACCCTGTTGTGGTGTTTATCTCTGTTGCACTAGCACCGCAACGCCAGCAGAGGGCAAGCGTGTTGTTTCTAGAGAGCGGAGCCAGGAGTAGTCTAAAAGGGAGTTCTTTTAGAGAAAATAAGCGATTTGGAGCAGTTATGAGTAACAGAGACACTTGTATGTGACAGAGTGGATAATAAATGCTACAGCTTCCCCAGAAACCTTCACCTGTCTCTTCCTTCGCTGCACTATACCTCTGTGAACCACAATGAGAACTTCAGCATTGGAGCAGAAGAAGCTCATTGTATGCCTCTACAGAGGACCACCTGCATCATGAAGGACCCCACTCACCCAGCACACACTCTTTTTGCCCCGCTCCCCTCAGGCAGATTGATGAGGTGCATTAAGTGCAGAACCACTAGATTGAGGAACAGCTTCTACCCTGAAGCTCTAGATTCATAAATCTCTAATCAGGATTATCACTGTGAAAAAAAATCACTGTAATGCCACTTTTATTGTTGATATGTGCTGCTGATTATTCATGCTGCTCATGCTGCTGATTATTTCATGCTACTCATCTGCTCACACAGACTCATGTTCGTGCTGCTGTTGTTCGGCGTATTGTTTTGTACTATTAGTGTTTAGCGTATTCTTAGTTTAGCATATTTTTATAGCTTAGATCCTTATTTACTGTTTCTTTTTACACTTTATATTTTTGTTAGGGGCAGCATGGTGGCGCAACTGGTAGAGCTGCTGCCTCTCAGCAAGCAGGTCCCCAGTTCAAACCTCGGTTCAGGTGTCTGGAGTTTGCATGTTCTCTCTGTGCATGTGTGGGTTTTCTCCGGGTGCTCCGGTTTTCTCCCACAGACCAAAAACATGCATGTTAGGCTGATTGGTAACTCTAAATTGCCCCTAGGTGTGAGAGAGTGAATGGTTGTTTGTCTTGTTTGTCTCTATGTGGCCCTGTAATGGACTTGCGACCTGTCCAGGGTGTCCCCCGCCTCTCGCACAGTGATTGCTGGACATGGGCACCAGCGACCCCCGTGACCCAAAATGGAAGAAGCGGGTAAAAGATAATGGATGGATGGATATTTTTGTTATTTGTGGATGTAACTGGGCCCCTGTGTACACATTTTTGTTCCACCTCATGTACCACATGTGATGCGAATGGTAATAAAACCTACTTGGACTTGATCTTGTGTTGTAGTTACGTTTGTTTCTCACTTTTAAATTTACTCCCTCTGCTCTTCATTGAAAACATAAACTATGATTGTAAACAAAGCCCAACACACTAACTGCATATAAACTCTACAGTTTTTGTAACAAACCATGCGATCATATTGCAAACCTGCGCATTCAGTTTAATTCTAAGTAACAGATGTCTTTAATTTTGACACTGAGCACCTGCTAGGTTCCATAAATACCAATTCCATTGCAAATCCATGGCTATGGTTTCCTAAATTGGTGAAATATTTTGTAAATTTGTGAATATGATTTCTAAAACAGAGGGATAACATTTTTCATAGGCTTAGACATATTAGTATTGCTTCTAATTTTTATAATGAGGTTTGGATATTTATGTGAGCACCTATATGTGGAGTTCAAATCAAAGATACAAATCATCAAAGTTCATGCTCAATAATCCAGATAAAAAATCCAGTAAAGTTAAATATCGTCATCTGGACGCTTTCTTTTCTTTTTTTTGCTGAGACGTTTCGTCCTTCATTCAAAGGACTTCATCAGTTGGATTTGTTGGAAGTTTTACCTGGATTATTGAGCAAGAACTTTGATGTCTTGAACCACTTTGGCTACGGCTGCCTCAGAGGAGTTGACGGGGAAGAGGGCAGGCCCCAGAAACCATCTTATCACCAGCAAACTGGTTGGCTCACTATATGTGAGTGTGCTGTTTGTTGTGGCTCCTCAGACTGATGAAGTCCAATGGATGAAAGAAAAAACGTCTCGACAAAAAAAGAGAAGCCGTCCAGATGAACTGACTTAACTTTGTTGCAAAAGGACAATAAAAATTATTTTTTTAATATGTATAATTTACAAAAATAAACAAATACAATTCTACTTGAATGAACACTGAACATCTTCATGATTACATAAGTAAAGATTTCCAATTTGGAATTATAAGCCTATTTGAAAGACAAACATTCAAAATCAAAACCCAACTTTTATCATAAGAAATATATTGTCACTACAAAAAAAACAAAATTTACAAATAAATATTGATTATTCAGTCAAATCAAAATGGTAATCGAATTAAGTAATAGTTTGAAACAGCAACTGTTCCTTAAAATCCTAAATTAATTAAAAAAATGAAAGTATTTTTGATATTCCTGAGAAAACTCATGTGAGGGGTCAAAGATTTTAAAATAGTTAAGCTCATTCATTATTTAACTTGTTATTTATATAGAATCTGAAATTAAAACATTTAAGTTTGGGGTTTTCAAAGTAAGTTTAAATAAATTAACAAAGTTACTCATATTTGATGTTAAATTAAATATGTGCACGGTTTAGAAGGCTTGGATTAGTTAGTCTCTTCAATCAAGACTTTTGCCAAACACTTTCAGGGGAAGAAAGTCAATTAACACAATTTATAATTCTTATTCCAGGTATAGGTAATATTTGGTTCCTCATGTTAACAAACTATTTATGTTTGTACTTTATGAGAAACACAAACAATTTCAACAGGCAGAAAGATGGTGTCAACAAAAAATTATGCATCCTGGTGTAATTTTCATTAAGCAAATTTAAATCATAATTTAAAATTACATTGCCATAATAAACAATAGATTTTTTAAATTGAATATATTATGATCCATTGGATTGTTCTATAAAAAATCTTGTTGCAGAATAGAGGAATTAAAGTCCAGTTGTATCATGCTGGTGCTAATGTTACAGTGATTTGCCTTTATTAAATCCTAGCATACTAAAATATTTTATATCATACTTTTTGAATGTAGTAGGTTATTCTTTATCCTATTTATTTTTGTAATATTAAAACCTGTATTAAAATATCTGAAACGTGTACTACTGTAAAAAACTTAAGAGACTGATGTAAGATGTGAAGGGTTCAACTTCAAGTGCCTCAGACTTTTTATTTTTTTGTGCATTTTTATTTTAATCCTACTTTTTTGTTCTTAGACCTTCATAAATACAATCAATGTTTTGTAGTCAAAGACAAGGATAAATAAACAAACAAACAAACAATGTTGTTTGCTGAACGAGGACAGCATGTTGAACAGAAACATATTGTCCTCTCATGGATGCAAGATGGATACAGACTATATACAAATTGTGGCACCCAGCAATAACATTTAAAAACCATTTATTCATTGCCGGTACCATCAGCAAAGCCATATACCACATCATCCTATTAACATCATGTCAAATTAAAACATTTATTTTAGTAAAACTCAGAACTCTCAGGTTTCTTAACTGTTTGTGCAGGCTGTAGTATGTCTATATTTTGCTAAAGTTATTTAACACCTGTTTACTTAAAAGCAATTAATTGTGGTATTAAGAGTTAGTCCAATTTTCCAACATCACTTAACTTAGACAATCATTTTTTGATTACTTAATGAAAAAAAAAAGTGCTGGTGGTCTCTCAACTGAGTTTATGCGTTTCCCCGACATCTTTTTTTATTTCGAAACCTGGCGTCTGCGGGATTCCGTACTTTCACGACAACGGCTTGCTTTCCGACCGCGTTGCTAAGATACTAAATAAGATCCCACCCCCTTTTTCACCAAGTCCAGTTTCTTCCGCTGCTAATGAAAGTTAATCAATATTTGAACGGTAGCATTTAGCATGATGCAGTTTCTGTTTAGAAATATTAACATGATAGTGTAATGCGTCACTCTCGGACGTCTCACGCAAAGAGGGACATGTAAGTTGAAACGTAACGCTTTGTTTTAACGGTGTTGTTCACAATAATCGAAGAAGCTAATAAAATCTTAACAGTTCCTGTAGCTGCTATTAGCTCCCTATCAATACAACGTCTTGACTTATTTAGGCACATTTAAAAAAAAAAAACGACTACAATGCCATAAGTTGCCGATAAAATACGTGCAATTTGCTAGCTTATTAGTTTACTATAATACCTGCCAGCAACATCAACTTTTTGGTGTTTTGTCGAGCTTTATGAAATGTATAAATAATGTTACGTTTGATACTTACAGAAATCTGTCCATCTTAATTAAACTAGCCAAAGTGGCAGTAATATCAAAAAGGTCTTCGTTACATTCCTGATTTTCTTTGGGAGAAAGGAAATATTTACAATGTGCTTGCTGATATGTTCTCTGACTGACACTTTAAGTGTTATTTATTTCATTATTTTCATTTTTAGCAGTTAACTTGGATTCAAATTTTATCACCTGTCAAAGATACACAACTATGGATTCTCAAAGAAGGTAAAGCACATATGTAAACACTAATCGTTTTGTTATTAGTGGTGTTTTAATGGAGAATTGTGCTGTTCTAATCAGATTATTGCCTTTTAAAAGTAGATTTGCATAGCTATGATTTCAAGACAATATTTTGTTGTGTAGCATTGCTTTTGATGTTTTCCACCTTTCTCTGTTTGTACAGTTTGGCTGATGAAGTCAAGCCAGAGGATTTGAGCAGTGATGCTTCCCAAACAAATGAAAATGTGGATCTTTTTTGTGCAACGCAAATGTCTAACAAACCAGAAGACCACCCACCAACTGAAGACATGTCCAATAGCTTAGCTTCTCAGAATTCAATGGATTGTGAGCCCCCATGTGAACTGGATGAGTCTGTTCTTGGAGACAACAGAATTAATCCAGCTGTAACCCCCAGCTCTAATGGCCAGAAATCTAGGAGACCTGATTCACCCGGGTCTCCTCACCCAGTTAAAGCAACCTGCCTTGGTGCATGTTCTGCAAATCCAAAACTCACCCTTTGTCTTAGTGTTAGTTCTAGGAAAGTTGAAGGTACACCTAGTGACATAAAGGTGCTGAGCCCCGACAGTCCAGTATGTAAAAACACATTTAGCAACAGCTCTACAGACATACTTGATGCTGAAAGCCCGTGCACAGAAGACACTGACTTTGCAAAGGCTCAGGTAGTGGAATCTCAGCAGGTTGTCAAAGATTCTGACTCTGGAAGTTTGGCCAAAGAAGGAGTTCATCCTATGGCTGTAAACACTGAAGGTGAGGATGTTGAGATGATTGAGTGCGGTACCTCATCTAAGATGAGTACTAGTCAAGACCTAAAGGAACACCAGACGGATGCAAGCTTCAAACGGTACTTAGAATTGTTTTAATTCTCAAATAATGCATGTGTTACTCTTCATTTTGCTTCACAATGGTCTTTACTCTTAATTTTGCACAATAATGTGTTTCATGTGCTTGTGTTTCTTTTTGCAGAGTTTCTTTCCCAATGCAGAACTTTGACAAAAGATGGTTGGGGACACCCATAGATGAGCTCAACAGACTACCGCAGTGTGCTCCCCCTTTGTCTCCCCTGAAAGCAACGCCTAATCACTCCGTCACAATCAGGGTGAGTTAACAACCACTTGTTCTTTTGGGGATCTTTATTTGCAGAGGAAAAGGCTGCAGTCAGAGCAAGAATGCAGATGTGATTGGGCATGGTTCACAGAGTATTGTAATAATTAACCCTAGTGTTGTAATTGTAACAAGACGATGTGTAAACACTGTTTGGACACGGACAGCACAAATAAAATAAAACTATAGACATTGCTTGGGCTGAGCCATCCTGGTGGTTGTATGTGGCTGCAGCAGTTTAACTATTACTGCTACCTAACTTATCCTAAAATCATATAAATACATTTAATCATAGGATTTCTGTTTGAATTAAACTCATGACATCGGTTTAGCTTTTTTCATTGCATATAAATTTAAAGTTAAGACAATTTGGCCATTTACAAATTCACAGTCATCTTTGTTTTTGCATTTTAACAAAACCTTGCAAATGATAAGAAAAATTGAATTTGTAAAATTAATCTGATGCACAGTTTTCCAAGATGTTAACAACAGACAGGCATTGGAGACTCCGCTGCTCTTAAAACAGTAGTAATCTGTAAAGATGTGTTGCATTTGTCTTTAATTTATGTTGCAGACAGATCTCCTCAGAGAGGGAGAGGTCCCCGTCCCGTACCCCTCAAAGTTCAGAGATGCATGGGATGAAGGGTCAGTGAAGATGCCCTGCTCTGAGAAGAATCTGTTTCCTGTGGAGACCGAGGTAAACTTGTAGTCCTGTGCTTTTAAATGTATCACCGTTTTTATTCTTTTATGTGATTCTGTGGAGGCTCTTGCAACTTTGTTATTTTTCTGTCTTGAAGGATGGTGGTGTTCAAAGTCGGTGGGAGCTAATCCGAAATGCCTTGCAGAGAGGCTTCAAAAGTTGCCTGGATGTGAGGGTAAGGCAGCTGCACATGTCTGAAATGCTTTGAAGGATTTCTAGAATGATCAGCGAGACACATTCTGTGCTCAAACACTGAATAAGTGACTTTGTCAAGTTTTCTATGGTGGAATTCAGTAGAGCTGACAGTACTTCTGATAACGGGCTTCACATCTGTCTCCTCTTATTGTAAATTTCTCAGCTAAAAGGAGAGCACTTCTCTTTTTTTAATTATTATCAAACGGGTCATTTGTGTTTGAAACAATGGAAAAAAACATTTATCTTTTAAACTTATTTTCTCTTTGGTAGATTTTGTGTTCATTTTTTCCCTCAAACGCAACATATTCCATTATCAACCACATGGTGGCAGAGTTTACAATTATATTTTAGGTTGAGCATAAAACCCTTCATAATCGGAGTGCCTGACACTTTGGGTATACTAATGAACCTTTTTTAATCTGCTGCCAAATAATATTCTAATCATAAATTTACCATGGATGAATAACTCTCATTTCTACTTCTCAGGATGCAATACTGAGGTACCACACGACCCATGCAAAGAAATGGGACTTCACTGCCTTGAACCTTCTTTGCACAGAGGCAAGTAGTTCAAAGCATCATTTTCTATTATTATATGTATATTTTGTTCAAAATATGGATAAGAAAGCTTAAAATACTGCCTTTACATATTACTGGCATTAATAACTTTTATTTTTAGAAAATATTAAAAAGGTTTTTTAACAGCACTTGAGAAATACATTTTTAGGCTTTTTTGCTTGCATTTCAATAGATTTAAAGTAAAACAAAACACACTTCAGCAGACATTACGTGAACTTTTAATGTAGATACTCAGTATTTAGTATTATTCAAATTTATAAAGATAGAAAAACAAGTAGATAGTTTATTAAAGACCTTTTTAAAGAAGTCTGCTTTCCTTATTTTCAAAGCTGCTGTGTATCGTCTCCACAAAATAGTTTAGAGCCGCTGGGGAGTACTGTACAGTCAGGACTGATGAGTGCAGCTTATAGCTTCAACAGCTGTTGTAGAAGAACCAGGGGAATGTTTTCGTTTATACATCTCCTTCCTCTTCACGCTTTCTGTCCTCTGTTCAGACGGTCAGGGACTGTAATCGCATTCCTGTTAGAGTAATGTTCACACTGGGGTTAAAGAATAGAAAATGACTGTTTTTGCTCTTAAGAAAGAAAATTTAAAAGCTGCTGGAGCTTTTTCAATTAATCTTTCAGTCTTTTTTTATGTAAACGACTTTCCAAAAGGTTGTGGATTGGAATATGCTTGATAATACATTAAATGTTTATTTACACGCAGAATACTTGGCAAATTGAACATGCAACTCATCAAAATAAATTTTAGACCCCAAATTATGGCCTGCATTTGATAAATCCTGTTTGTTTTAAACTTTTAATTTTCTGAGTAAGTTGTCTCTTAAGTTTATGTGAAATAAAAATATAAAGAATCATATTTCTTTTGTCACAATTGAGAGCAGACAGTACTTCTGGTAACAGGCCTCACGTCTGTCTCCTCCTATTGTAAATTTATCAGCTAAAAGGAGAGCATTTCTCTTTTTTTCCTCTTTATTCTCAAAATAATTTTTCACCGTCATGCAGAAAGCTTGTAGATCAATAGCAAGCCAGGCTTTTTATAGCTTAAGCCAATTTAATTAAAAGGCCCCATTAAATTTGTAAGGACTCCAAGTGGCCATCAAGAGAGTTGCCTTTCCAGCCTCATCTTACTGCCCACTCTTACAGCGTGCGGAGCCTAGCTTACTTACATTTTGTTCTTTATTGCTTTGCTTTTTAAAGTTAAGACTTGAAAAAGAAACTGACTCCCAGGAAAAGTGCTAGTAGAGATTTATGAGGTTATGAGGTTTAATTCATAAAAGCTAGTGTTTTGTAAAAGTACATGTTTACATGAAGAGAAATGAAATCTCTTCTGGTTGTGGCTGTTTCATCAGGTGTTTTTGTTTGTTCAAGTGTGCGCCTGCACCCTGTGTTTCTCTGCAACTTTACCTCTGCTTTACTTTAGATTTAGTATGTTTTTTATTTCCGTTTTAAAATCATCTGCATGCGATAGGTTTTATAGAACATTGAGAATATTTAGTTATGACGTGATGAAATAATAATTACAATAATGAACCATGAAAACACTGTCCCAAGTTAAAGTTTTAAAATATTGTTCAAATATTCGATGTTCAAATGTTGCCGTTTTGAACGGCCTCCGTATGAAAAATGTTAAAACCCAAAACAAAACCAGTAATGAGATGGGACTACACGAGTCTGGGAAGAAGCTGCATTGACAAGACCTTTGCTGAAGCCGTTTCTTTCTCAATATTATGCTAGTTACATTTTGAGCGACATTTTGGGAGCTCGAGGGGTAATTGTGCGGCTGCACATTTGCCCCTGGGCCTATGATTGACACTCCACTCTGTGTGTAATAGCAATAGGAGAGAAAAAAAGTTATCCAAATTATGTCTTGTCTGTAAATCATCTTAGTGTTTCCCCCTCAGCCGAATGAAACTGTCACCGTGTCATTTTCTGATGAATGTGTGAAGGTTGAGCAGGATCACAGTCCAAGAATAAGTGATGTTGCTCTTATCTAAAAACATTCAGCGCCAAGACAAAACCACAGCTGAATGCTCTCACTTTCATCACTTTGATTAACTGACTGTATAAAATTTCCGTTTGCTAGAAAGTGCACTGGAAAACCTCTAAATTAAACCTTTAAATATAAAGTTGTGAAGTTTCAGCTGCCAGAAAAGTGATCGTTCCCTATAACCAGAACATGTAGAGTAGATAATTTGCTCGTCTGTCACTAGATTTGAACTGTCTTGTATTACATTTATTGACATCAAATGTAGAATTTGTCTCTGTAGTTTAACCCTCAGGCCAACTTGCTGCTTTAGCTGTAAAAATGTAGTACTGTCATCTTTCTGCCCTCATCCTGCTGCATCACCAACTATCTATTAGTCCCACTGGAGCACTTTATGATGTCTGCCAGCTCATTACTTCTGACAGCATTTAGTCAGACCTGCTCTGCAGCCATATAAATGTTCCAAGCCAAGTCAACCGCAGAGGACTTCCTCTTGAAAATCCAACCCGCCTGCCACTCTTCCCACAATTGGTCATTTGCATTTGCTCCAGAAGGTCCATTTAATCAGCACCAGCTCCCCTGCTTACCTTGATAAAATGAGGCAAGTGATTGATGACCGTGACATTCGAAGCCAATACACTCATAAATGATTGTGCTGTAAATCTGGGTGTATGATGAAAAACCTGGGTGTTTATTTTAGAGGGAATTGCCCGTGGATGCTGAGGTAAGCTGCATCTGACGTATGGATGCCTCGGTCGCGCTGAGCTCTTTCCCAGATTGATAGTAGTTTTCTTCTGAATACGGTTCTGTGCAGTGAGTGGCTCTGCTGCATTTTTTTTTTCCATCTTACAAATGTTTGGATTGTGATATCTGAGATGTGAAACATCACTTTTTTTTTTTTTTAACAGCAGTACAGAGTACACCTTCACTGCCTTCACGTGAACTTGGGTTTTGTTGCTTGGGAGGGCATCCCATTAATTGTTATATGTTTAAAAGATAAGCTTTTACTCAAAAACCAGCAACATCTGCTTTTCATCCTACTAACGCAAAAGAAATAGAAAAACTGACATTTTTGGTTAAATCTATTACCATGCCTCTATTTTAACATTTTTTCATAAATATTAAAATGTTATCATGTATTTATACATACTGAAAATGTTAATTAGTCCACACTGTATATGGGAAAACTAGAGATTCAAAATGTACAAACCAACAAACAAAAAAAGTTTTAAAACACAATTGATTAAATTGTATATTGTTATAATTTGTTTTTTCAAATTCATTTGACTTGGAGAACTGACTCTTTTATCAAGAGGATAAGGATTTATTACTCCTGAATCATTAATTGTAATATTTCTTTTGGAGAGTAGTTACACAAATGTCTGCAATTAGTAGTTCTGCTTGCTTCAATGCTGTGGTGTAAGACACACATCCAGCTCCAGTTCATCACATCGAGGGGAAATAAAAAAAAAAAACTTGGTTTTGCCTTCTCTACAGTATCTTGAGCACTGTGAGGTACAGCACCTATTTGACAATGTACTACCGGCTTTGGTGGACCTGGCTTTGAGTGCTCCTCGCCTCTGCACAATGGTAAGAGTTCAGTTTTGTCCTCCTGTACAGTTTTTGTTCAGTAGGTGTTGACATCTTTGTAATAATCACCATGACTGACTATAGCTCCTGTTCCAGCAGAAAGGACTGTTTGATGACAGTCACTGAAGTTAACCCAAAGTCTAAAGTAACATCTCAGGAGTTTAGTGCAAAGAGCATGAACACAAACTTTGATTCAAAGTCTGAAATGTCTCAGGCATTTTTATTTAAAAGGACTAAATGGACTGTACTTGTATAGGGCCTTTCTTTCTTATCAACACTCAAAGCGCTTTACACTACAAGCTGTGTCCTCATTCACCCATTCATACATCACTCTACTAGATCTCTACAAGCTAGTTGAACAAATCATTTTAAAGAGACTAATCAGTGCTTTATCACATTCATACGCTGATGGGACACACATCAGAGGCGATAAGGGGTTCAGTGTATTGCCCAGGGACACTTCAGCATGAGACTGCTGGTGGATTCGAACCCCCATCTCTCACATTGGAGGACGACTGCTCTAACCACTTGGCCACACCCACCCATTTACCTGCTTAATTCTAAAACCAAACATCTAGAATTTTTTTAAATAAGAATAGGTTATTGGTAGTTGTAGCTTCTGAGCTGAAGTATAGATGACCTTCCTACAATGCATTTAGTTGAGAAAATTGTAAAAAAAACCCATAAAAAACAAGCATCTACCTTATGTGAAAGTGACAATTTCTAAAATATTTTATGTAAAGTTTACTCAAACCACTGAACCATTTTGGGATGAGTTATTTGCTTTTTTGTCTCTGTTCCGAGTAACTGTTAGCTTGATTCTGCCATTAAAGATCAACACCCAACATTATAGTCCCAGGTGCTCTTAAGAGGTAATCACTGTTGTAGAATACAATGGTTTTATATATTTTTGCAATTGGGCCATGTAAGTGTTAACAAAACCTTAAACAAACAAGTAAACCAGTCTTGGAAACACCCAAGCACAGGGCCAATGATTACCGCCTGCTGAAGTTCTGCCAGGGATAATTGTGTATTATGTCACTGCGTGAGTGCAGCTACAGCGTGCGCTCTCAGGACATTGTTACATGCAGTGTTCCCTCAATGAGGACTGAACTAGGCAAAAGGGTCTTCTCCTACTTCGCTCCTGTTTCCTGGAATATCTTGCAAAAAGATCTGAAGCTCTCGACCTTGACCTCTCTAAGTGTCTTTAAGAATCTTCTAAGTTCATGGCAAAAACCAATGCAGCATATTCTTGTTTTTAGTTTTCTACACTGCCTTACAACCTAGCTGTTTTTTCACTACTTTTCCTTTTAATTATCATTTTTAATTACCTTTTTATTTTCACTTGTTTATAAAAAAATAAAATAAATTACGCATCCTTTATGATCGTCTATTATTGTTTTTGTTGTCCGCTGTTGTCATCACTCTTTATTAAAATTTAGGTCTCTCTTGTAAATGAGTCCCCGAGGCTCAATGGGATTAATCTGTCTAAATAAAGGTTGAATAAACGAATGACAAAATAATGTATAGTGTGGTATAATAACCAGAGAGGAGGTTTTAAATGATGGACTGTACAGATTCAACTGATTAGTTAAGAGTGACTCATAATGAATGGCTCATTTTTATATTAAGTGCATCTTTTATTAGAAAAGAAGCAAAAAAAAAAAATGGTGGTCTTTTGTTTTTATTCGTTTTAGGTATTATGCTTGAGCATTTCAGGAAACCTGCTTAGTTCTTGCATTCACTGTGTTAACTTGGACATATTATGAATACTAACAATCTACACCATAAATTTCCTTTAACTTAGGAACAAGTTTTGGGATACCATGTTTGATTTGAATCCCTTCAGACCTACTCCCCCCTTTAATTTATACAAAATGGAACTGGTTCGTGCTACAGGTCCTCCTCGTAAATGTCATCTCCATTTGTCTTTGTTTTCATCCTGTCATTAATTACAGCAGTATAAAATTTACAAGATTGGTATTTTTGTAATGACATTATCTATGTCAGAGTCTTGAGTTTAATTCAATTGACTGAATTCACCTCCCACTTCTGGAAGAAAAAAAAACAAATCATCCCTAGCAGATTTTTGTTACAGATTTATTCTTTGAAATAATGAATATATTTTTCACCATGACGTTTTCAGATTCTCTGTGGTTGTAAGTGTGAAGGCTAATGTTTATGTGTGTGTTATTAGAGCTTGTATTGATCTGCCAACTGGGCAGCCTTGGGAGACTCTTTAGTCCTAATCAGTGAAGATGGATGAGCCCCATGTGTCTGGTTGAACAAACCTGACGGGGAGCAAGAGAACCGGAACCTTAATTACTACCACCCATTTTCCTAATGGAACCCTCCTTATCTCCTGTTTGCTAGATCGCTAAACTAATTTTCTTCCCTCATTAGCCCTGCAACCTACAGTACAGTACTAAACCCACAAAACCCTGCATGTTTGTTAATCACCTTAACATTGTCTATGTAATATTTAGCCTTTCAGGTTGTGTCTCTTATCTTTGACGCTGTACAATTTTTTGTCTTTTTGTTTCTCCTTCTAGCCAATCCCTTTACTCAAGTCGGGCATGAACCATTCCCTGACTCTGTCTCAGGAGCAAATAGCCTGTCTTTTGGCCAACGCCTTCTTCTGCACATTCCCACGACGCAACTCCCGCAAGTCGGAGTATTGCAATTACCCTGAGATCAACTTCTACAGGTACCAGTGCGCTGATGCAGAGAATCTATAAATACACCAAACACTTCCTGCCTCTTACTCAACCGTTTTCTTTAAAACAGGAGAAAGAGGAGTTTGTTGCTGACAGTTTTTGCTGTCTTTTGCTCGTTTTATTGCATTGAAACAGAATAAAGTTATTGTTTTCACTTGAAGCATGAATTTGTAACTATTAATCAAATATATAGAAATCTAAATATACTTTTCCTGATTTAATTTTTTTCTTTGGTGTTGTAGAAGTGCCTTGTTTTGATTGATCCTGTCAATTTAAAAACCCAGATTTCCATTGGGGGGCGCTACCTCCTTGAAAAGGGCTAATAAATAATAATTTTTTTTTTTATCACCTTTTGCCTGTTTTGTTAGGGTAAGTTTAATATCAAGTTTAGGTTTTATTTGATGCTTGCATTCAATGATTATTAATATTATAAAATAGTTTAATCTGGCTTATAAACAAAACGTTATGCCATGCATGCGTTTTTATTCAAATGATTTGCAAAGATGTGCTGCAGCTTTCTAAGAAAATGAAAAGTTTTTGTGAGGGAGCTGTAGGCTGAGAACTTGTATTCTCTTTATGCCTTGTATGTGGAAAGAATGTTGAAGTAGGTGTTTTCCAGTTATTGATTTTTATTTTTATTAACTCAAGTCACTCAGTTGTTGGTAAAGCATAAGATAGCTAATTGAAACCAGTTGATTCAATTCAGTTTATTTATATATCACCAAATCACAACAAAGTTGCCTCAGATTTACAGGAACATTCACATACACAGAAAAGCCAATTAGTAAAGTTCTCTATCTAAGGAGGCCAGCAGACACGTTGAATTTTCACTTTGTCGCAGTCTCCCTTCCTGAGCAAACACAATGGCAACAGTGGAAAGGAAAAACTCCCTTTAACAGGAAGAAACCTCCAGCAGAACCTGGCTCAGGACAAGCGGCCATCTGCCTTGACCGGCTGGGTTTGAGATGATTCAGTGAACTGACTTCTCATAACCTTGTGGTCATTTGAGGCGGAAGAGAGGATGTTTGTACCTGTGTAGTTAAAACTAAACAAGAGAAGTTACAGCTGTTGAAATGGACATACAGAACTTTTACTGTCATTATATTTGAATTTCAGTATTAGGAGAATATTTGTACAGTATGTATACAGTATACAGTATACAGTATTTGACCTAAATCTGCACCAAAACATGTTTTGTCATGTAGATCTATTGGCTCATGAATGCTTTATTCTGACATATAAAGGACGGGTTATTCAGTTTTAAATTTAGTTTTAGGTCATAAACAACAGAGTTTTTGGAAAACTTTTAGGATTAAGATTTCCAGAAACTTTTATTTGCTACACTGACATGCAGATAATGAAAAAATCAAAAGAGATTTGCCAACATTGATGAAGAACTCGTTGTTTGCTATGGTCAAACCACTCACTACAGTCCCATTTGTGCTACAAGGCACAAATGTATGAAAATATCACTTAACTGTAAAAAGAAAAACAGACAAGTCACATAAACAAGTAATTTAATATACATGTTGACTTTTTTTACCGATTTCTTATAAGTAAATAAATGCTATGCAATCACTTGGCTTATCTGAATACTTACCTGGTTTATCTTTACATTTGTTTAGGGGTAAACAGGACGTACATTTGAATAAAAAAATAAATTATACCTGCTAATATTAACTTCATTTTATTTTTTAAATACTTTAATAAAGTTGTTATTTTCTGGTCAGCTTGCATAAAGAAAAGAGATGATGTAAAGAGCAACATTTTGTTGAGCAAAAATAGTATTTTGTTTTAGCGAAGTCAAACAGCTAAACCTTAAATACACCTTTAAACTTTATACCTTTTTTATGTAAAACATATGTAAAACATAATCTTTGAATTTTGTTTCCAAACACTTAGATTAGGACCCACTGCAAATTAAAATTAGAATTGCCAATAAGAGAATCTGTCTTTCAATCACAGACGGAGTCTGAATAAATGTTTCGATGAGCTGTTGCTGATGAAAGCTCAAATAAGACAGATACATTTTTATAATAATAATAATAATCATAATCATAATACTTTATTTATAAAGCCCTTTAAAACAACCACAGCTGCAACAAAGTGCTCTATACATACGATCAAGAAAATTTAAACACATAAAAATAAAACTATTGTTAAAACATTATGATAAATAAAAGCAATAAAAACTATACAGAGCAAATTCAGTCTGTGCTAAAAGCCAGGGAGAATTTATGTTGAGGTTAGATTATTAACAGAACAATTAATTGTGGTTAGCAGATTCACTGCTGTATTTTTGAACAGTAATATTCTGTTACAACTGTCACTTTTTCTTGATATCTAGATATAATCTCGATTAAATTTTCTCCAGTTTTTGTTGGACGTATCTTTTTTTTTCTGCCTGTACCTTCCAGTTGTTGTTTTATGACTGAAGTTGATATTTTAGTAAAACCTTGGGGTAAATGGGGTGATCCTGCCTGAAGAATGTAAATATGTATCAAAAGTGGATTTAAAAAAAAAAAAGCATTTTTAAATTTTAATAATTCAGAACCACTGTCTAATTTTTAACAAACATTCGCTTACTTGGTATTAAGGCGTGTAAATTCTTTTGAATTGCATCGTCTCATTGATATGCGATTTGTCTCCCCAACACACATCTTTTATTTTATCTTTTACTATCGGTGTGTTAAATGTAAGGATGCTGCATTAATGTAAGGATGCTGCATTAATGTAAACATTGATTCAGTTGCAAAGTTGGCCTTTTCAGACTCACGAGAGCCTGTTTTCAGGATTTCTGCCTGCAGCAAAATACAGGAAAGAGCGACGGTGTCTGAGAAGATGAAACAAGACAAGCGCTGCAGTCTAAAATGGGTCCTGGATCGTTACCAGTCCTCCCTTTCTCTCTGTAATTGAGGGAGTGTCCGTCACTTTGCTTATTGGCTACAGTAACTCTCTGTCTTGGACAAGCAGGGCAGCAAGCAATCTGCTGATTGCTGTTTTGACAAAAGTGTCGAGGTTTGTCCTCTGTTAAGTGATGGATGGATTCAAGGAGCAACACAGAAGGCAGGAGACTTCTTTAGATCGTGTTTTCTGCTGTTTGAGAAGAAGACTAAACAGATCTTGTTTAACAGTCAACAAGGAAAGCTTAATTCTTTTGTCTTTGAATCATTATGAAATGGTCACGTTCACTTGAAAAACATTTTTTAATAGAGTATAAACAGTCAAAAACATAGTCTCCTTGTCGATTTTATGTAGTATATAAGTGAATGATGGAGAAGAACCAACCAAAAAACAATTTTTTTCCCTTTAGGTGACTTTTTTAAATTTCGTTCATAATTGAAATTAATATTTAATTAGATTGTCACCTTATTTTATGAACATGTAATGTAGTTAGTTTCTTTTTTTTAATCCATGGTATGATTTACAGCTGTACTTGTAATCCTGCCTTGATTAATCTCTGGTTTTAGGGTCACACAGGATTGTTGCCCCTCTCACCAAACTGACACCAAAGGTTGCAGTGGGTTGGGAAAGTTCTCACAGCATTCGTTAAATTACTTTTTAACAAGCTTAAAAAGGGCAGTAAAGCATATTTCATATGTAGGACTTGCTTTGATGAATACAGTTTTTTTATTTTTTTTATTTTAGGAATTGCTTTTAGTGCACTAAAATTTCTAATTTGATTGGATCCCCTTGTTTTAATTCTTTACTGAACTGGGCAGAAAGCAGTGGGAGGCAAAGATGAATGCTGAACTGTAATTAGTCATCAGCTTAGGTTGCTTTTACTGGAAGGAGTGGGTCAGTATGGGGTGATTTAAGCTGCCCATCCAGCACTCTCCTTGTTCTTCCAGCCTACTTTTTAGTAACTTTAAAGAGCTGAGACAGGGCCTCAGGCATCGACATTGTAGGGAGATGGAAGAAACATCATGCCAGTTAGAAAGCTCGACTTCACTCATGTTGCTGTAGCCTGGTTGTGCAGTGAGTTATAGATAACTGAGTGAAACAAACATGCATTTCATCTACTGAAGCATAAAGCCTAGTTTTATGTATAGCTTTTTTTAATTTAAACTTTTTTTTAATTCAATTTTTTATATTATGTAGAAGCTTTTTAAGCTCTAAAATGAATTCAAGTTCCTGCTTTCTTTCTTTTTCAGGTTATTTGAAGATTCCTCAACCAGAAAAATTGAGAAGTTGAAAACTCTGTTGTGTTACTTCAGAAGAGTAACTCAGACTAGTAAGCTCTAAAATGTCACGTTTTTGGTTATTTCTGTTGAAAGCTTTAAAAACGATGTAACCTGTAATTGTTTGTTTTTGAAGGACCCTGTGGTCTTGTTACATTCACAAGACAAACTCTTAACCATCCAGCGAACTGGGAAAGGTAATCACTGGTTGTCATAACAGGCTTTGATCCAAATGTGCTAGTAGTCCTTATCTAAGAGAATGTCCATAATTTTTTTTTTTTTTGGTAAGTTCTCGGACTCAGCTGACTCGTCTGCATATCACTTGTGAGGGGACAATTGAAAATGAAGGGTACGGGATGTTGCAGGTAGGAATTATATTTGTTTTTATCAAATGCACAGTCTAATTAGTTTTTGTGGTTTTTGTAAGCATCTCTTAGCCAATTAGTTTTTTCCAAAGTGAGTTAAATGCAAAATTTCGAATTCAAAGTTGTTGTATTGCATAAAAACAGTTTATATAAAAATAAATGGTGGATGTGGCTCAAAAAAAGATGTTCTTGGATGTAAATAACAAACAGGAAGATGTAAATACTGTTGGAGAAAATCCTTTTATAAATGTATTTAATTCATATATTTTTATTTCTGTTTTTGATTTTGATGCTGTTTTGATATTTATCAACTATGAGAAACTATGACAGTCAAGTTAAAATTCTTCATTTTGATGTAATGATGAAACCCTTAAATGCAAATATGTTAAAGTTCCTGAAATAAGTAAAAATTAAATGACACAAAATAATTATTTTAACAGAAATACAGCTCAATGTAGAATCTTAAGCAGGTGCAACCCCCCCCCCCCCCCAAAAAAAAAAAAAAACACAAAAAAAAAACACAATATAATAAAAGTAGCACAACTTTATTTCTTGAAGGAAAGCTAATTGCCACTTGCATGCCAAAGTTTTAAACAAAGATGCTGTACAATCTGTTAGTGCATGGGGTATGTGTTGAGGATGACACCCAGCTTCCAACACACCAAACTTTTAGCTCAACATTATCGTCCCTCTATTATCGTGGGAGTTACGTTCCACTCATCACCACGATAGGTGAAAACCGCAAAGTAGGAACGCTATATTTATTTGAGTATTTATGGCAGCGGTTCTCAAACTGGGGTCCATGGACCCCCTGGGGTTCGCGAGCCAATGCTTTGGGGTCTGCAAAAATATATATATATATCTTTTAATGAATTAATTTTTTTACAAGTAAGTAGATGTTTAACAACTTGTTAAAATACACCACAATGCAGGAAACCACAACTACTTTGTTCAAAAATTTCTGGGGGAGGACCCCCAGACCCCGCACCCCAATCTGCCCGCCCGCTATAAACTTGCATTCGGTTCCAAAAAATCCGACCCGGTCCCAGCCCGTAGCCATCATTTCCAAATCCCACCCGATCCGGCGAATTAACAATAATTTCAGGTTTGAACCCGACCCCCCCCAACCCCCCCCCCCCCCCCCAACATTTTTAATTAAGCTTTGACTGCTTATATAGTTATTAACAGTCGGCGGACGCACACGGCGGAATGAAGGGGGCAGCCGTCAAAGTGCATTACATGCTTCCCCTGCTTCTGCCTGCAATGGACCCTGCTCTGACATGTCGGATTTTTTGTGATCTCACCTGTTTGGGTCGTTCGCGTCCGCTGACGCAATCAAAAGCCCGACCCGGCCCGCATGTTAATAAGCACATTATTATGGACCGGCCCAGTCCGAATCCGGGTTGGGCAGGGCCGGGCTCCACGTTCGGGTTAGAAATGACAGCTCTAATATGCGTTCCGTCATCAATCCGTTTACAAATGAAGCTCTGTTACTTGGTCTGACTACTGCTGTTATGATTCTGTTCAGTTTCATGTAAAGAGTGTTCTGTAATAATTGGAAGAAGTGCCAGTACATTTATTATGTTCATTATGTGAATAGGTAGTTTTAAAGTGGGTTTTTGATTCTGTTAATTTTCTCAAAACTGAAATTTTTGGAAGTTGAAATTAAAAATGTTGTTAATTAATTGTGTCTTGTATGAAAAATACCCCATGTTTAAAAGTATAAAAATTGTATTAACACTATTAAAGAACAGGTCTTAAAATATTTGTTACATAAATATTTCCATTGCATTACAGAAAACAAACAAACATCAAACAAATTGCAGACAATTCTTTAATAAACACGAGGGTTATGAGGGGGTTCCTGAAACTTTTTCTCCCCTATAAGGGGTCACTGAACCCAAAAAGTTTTAGAAACCCTGTTTTAAGGCTTTGTAAACCCTTCCCACACTCTTGCAATGCTCTAAACTGTTAAACCTATGTAATTTTTATCAACGTAAGTATATGTACTGTACAGTACAGCAAAATTTTATATGGGTATTCACCAGCTCTGTTCCGGTTGGGCTCAGTTCCGGTTCAGCAGTCCTACCCTACAGCATCACGAAGTCCACCGCCCCATCCAGGTTGATGTGCTCGAGGATAATTGAGCTTCAGGAAGCTTCAGGATTATTTTCATCTTTCCTGCCTGTTCTGTGAGCTTAATAGATAGATCCTTACTTCTGACTTTGCGTTGCAAAACTTTCCCTCCATTGCTGCCATTTCGGCAGAAAGCAGCAGCCTGAAGCACTGTTAGCTTCTGGGCCGTGTAGTTTTTTTGACTTGTATTACATTATAGGCTTATTGAAAGAAAACTACAAAATGGCGGCACCTGTCCCAAGTATTATTTTTTGGTTTTTGTCGTATTGGTTGGTTCCTGCTCCTGTCCGCTCCCGTTAACTTTTTATCCCGTACCGTCCTAATCACGTGAGTAGTGAGTAATATTAAAGTTGACAATCATGTGTTGTTCAACTTATGTTGAAAAATCGAGTCCGCAAAAGTCAAACTGCGAAGTAGCGAGGGAATACTGTATCATTAAAAATGGCAGTTAAAACCATTTTATTGTTTTAGTTGTGGCTGCCATCTTGAGTTAGGTTCCCATCCAAAAGTTAATCAGTTGTAGTTTACATTCACTGATTATGGTCTGATAGTTTTACTGAAATGTGTCCTGTTGTTCATAAGGCATTTTGCTAACAGACAAACATGCACATACACAGACGAGCAATTACACGACTGCCCACCTTTCTTGGCAGCAGGTTATACCCAAAGTCACTGAAATATGTTGCAACTAGTGGCCAGTAATAATCTTAGGCTTTATTTATCACCATCTATATGAACAAACATTTTAAACGTAATTTTGACTTTGGACAGAAATGTGCATAAATTGGCATATATATAATACCAATTTATATTATATTTAGCAAAAATTATACTATTTTTGATCAAATTTTTTATGCATTTTAGTATAAATACAGCAGTACCAAAAAGTCAAGTTTGCTAGTTGTTGGTTTACACATGCACAACATAAAACAATAATCTTAGTGGCTATCACCATTTATTCCTTTTTGCTTTAAAATGGAGGACTTCCTTAAATTCAGCACTTGTGTAATTTTAATACAAATGTTTGAATTTCTTTGCGCATGTCTACACTGATTGACTCCATTGTCTCAACCCTTCTTTGGGATCTTCTTTGAAGGGTGCATTTATTTTATCTCTGGTTGACAGCATATATATGCACATGAATAGTTCAGAGTGGCAAGGGTGGAGGAGAGGACCCTTGGGTGGGGAATGAAAGAGAAAGGCACATGTAGAAAACAAAATGATGAGGGTGAGGCATTTCACAGGAATGACCCAGTGGGCCAAAAGTCCTGCAGGGGGATTGACGGCTACCTCAGCAGGCCGTACGCTGGCTGCGTGTTGAGCTTTGATAGGGCAGAGTGGGCTGTCATCCTGTCATGAGGTGAGATTGAAGGGTGGGGGGTGAGATTAGGGCTGAACCAAAGAAAGAAAAGGGGAGGAGTTGGGTGACTGGTTAAAAACATACACACTTGCACATACAAACACACTTACTGTCACACAGATTGATGTAGTTGCGGGCCACTGAGCAGAACCTTCACCCCTGACGGGATGTATGAGCATCAGCATTGTGATTGATCGGACTGCTCTTTTATCTGTGCCCCCCCAAAACAAGGACTTGGCTTGCAGGGCATGAAGGTCTAGTATCACACCAAAATAAAAATATTTCCTGCACATCAGCAGCGGTTTCAGAAATATGCAGAAGTGGATGTATTTTTACTATGGATCTGCGTGTACACAGACTTGTTTCAGTCCTTTTATTTGTTTTTATTGCAATAATACAAATAATTTCAGGACATAAATAGTGATGTATAACTATCCTGTGTACAAATTTTTATGTTTTTTTTTTGCAAATACATTAGATTGTGAATTTTCTCCTAATACAACTCATCAAATGTTGGAACATGTCAGGAAATGTTATCGTACTTGCCGCTGTACATGTCGCACCGCCTTATAAGTCACATGAGTCCAAAAATGTCTATTAAAGTGGAAAAAAACATAAATAAGTCACTTGACCGTATAAGTCTCATCTATTATGCGTCATCACAGACCACCTGGAAATGTGGGCCGGTGTTGTGCCAAAAATCGATTGGCTGCCAAATGGTGGCCATGGGAGCATGCACAGGAGGACTTTAACAAGAATTTAATAAGATTAACACCTAAAAACAATTATTTGTTTGCTCAACATTATAGTAAAGGTGTGTCTCAGGTGAACTTTTCCTTAATAAATGCACTTTAATGGTCAAATCATCTGCATTTTGTCTGGGCTGTGCGGCGAAATGCAACTGATTTGACGTTTGCTCCAGGAGTTCTGGAGCAAGACAAAGGTGGCTTGGTATGGCAAACCAAGTGTCTCATTAATAGCCACTTTTGACTATTAATGAGACACATGGCTTGCCATAATGCTCGAAGGTCCTCTGGCAGCTGAAAATGTTAGTGTTCAATATTTTCCTTGTCTGAATGAAGGAAATCGTCAGCTCTCAGCCAAAAATTGGGTTATAACTATGAGGAAAGAAAAAAACGTATATTAGTCACTTCGGTGTATAAGTTGCAGGACTTGCAAATTTATGCAAAAAGGTGTGACTTATATGGCGAAAAATATGGTACATGTTGGTGATGTTAAATTCAGTTTATTTATATAGCGCCAAATCACAACAAAGTTGTCTCAGTGCACTTTACAGGAACATTCACATACATAAAAGCCATTTAGTAAAGTTCTCTATCTAAGGAAGCCAGCAGACAAGTTGACTCTTCACTTTGTCGCATTAAGTCACAGGTGACAATGACTCAGGGTGGGTGGGTTGGTTAGTGACACACATTGCCTGAACAACTCTACAATTATGTCCCAACAGCATTTTATAACATTTAAATTCCTGACAATCTGTTAA